AGAAAGGTTAATGAAGCTCCAAGAAGCACAGTTTAGAAGAGTGGAAAATAAAATATGGCAGTGTTGGGCATAAACGACTATTAAAAAACGTAGCTATCATTTATTCTTCTGAACAGAGTAATGAGGACCTAGTTTAAAATTCGAATCAACAACTCTCTAATTAGTTCAGTCATCGGCAAAACTTACCACCACCACGAATGGAGAAAGCCTGGCGGTTCTCCTAGCGTTATATTCTTCTCCCATCTTATCTGAAAGGGAATTCAACCATACTTCAGTGTTTCATTCGCGTGTAACAATCGAGCGACGCGATGCGCGTAGTTCGCGTCGCGGATCGCACAAAGCTTAAAACTTGCATACTCTCTGTGAATGCGAGTCGACTTCTGATCAAGTTTACCTCGTTTAGAAAAGTCTGTGCGCTCTTCTGTGCTCCAACATGAAGAAGATACTCGTATACGTACAAGGCCAGCCTGCGAAGGAACGAAAACGGGCGATAAACCATTTACGCTTCATCAATGTACAGACACATAGGACAGTTTCCTAAACACAAAGCCGAGCTCAGACCGGCGGTGAAAGTTTCGAAATTCGCCCGCGATGGGTCGAAATATAAAACATCTTCCCCCATTTTCGGACACGCTGATTCCATTTCTGACATCCATTTTGCAGGAAAAATCAAACGAAGCTTACTTTTCGCGTGCCTGGGCATCAGAAGGCACGGTATTCGCCTTGCCTTTAGAGTACATGCTGCGCTGGCCCTGTCAAAGATGTGTCAGTGCAGTTCGTCATGCCTTGTGGGGTCCGCGTCACAGACCGGGGCCTAGCGCCTGTAACTATAGAAACCATTAGTGGATTGGCACTGATTGGCCGATGGACGGGACCTCTGAGTCAATGGAAAAGATTTACTTTGGAATGGACTTGGCGATCAAGACGAGGGAGTTATGAAAAGTACAATGACGAAAAATCGAAAAGACGAAGTTTAGTGTAGTAACCTCCAGAAATCATTGCATGCAACGAAAATAACGTGTTCCTCGTTTTCTTGATGATTCTCTTCGCGCCTATGTACAAATATGTACATTTCTATGTGTTGCCTTACCGACTTTGATTTGTTTCCGGAACAAAGATAAATAGAAAATCGATTCAAAATATTGAGAAATATCTTAAAAGAAGACATCCTCATTTGCTCAAATTCCAACACCAAGATGACCATAGTTGTAGCTGTCACTCTATCAACCACACGAAAAAAAAATTAAAATTAACGAATCAGTTAATGAACCAACAAACAGTTCTGAATGTAACAATCAAGTATCGATAGGCAATATGCAATGACATTAAATTGCACATTTTGGCTTGAAGACTCTTAGTTTGTCATGGTTTAGATACTGCTGTGCGAGCACCTCAAGGCGGATTTAAATTTCTTTATTGAATGCCAAAAACATCTGTGGCTATAATTGCTCGAATTGAGACCGAAAAACTTTTTGCAGAGGGTTAAGCTAATGGATAGAGTGAAGAATTGTAGACTTAATGAATTACTGAGTGTTATAAGAATATTGTCTAAAAATGCGACATTACAATTTTATTAGCCCAAACAGTGCGTGACCTGTGTCTTAGTTCGGCTTACGCCGCAATTAGGGTTAAAAAGCGTCCCTCCCAACTAAGTACTCTCACCTTTCCCGTAGAGGAGAATGCCTTCAAGTCAGCGCCATATCAGGTCACACATTAAATTAATAACTACAGAGGAGAGATAGAGACTCCAAGAAAAAAAAAAGTATGATGCATCCGCATACCTGACATCGGAAGACATAACTGAGTTGTTGGCGTACCGAGATCAAGATTGGGAGCCGCGGTCTGGATTCGAGTCCTGTTTGGGGCATATTGACACTGTCTTGTGCTTTTAGCCAAGAATATGGACCGTCACAGTAGCTCTTTCTCTATACACGGGAAAGTGAAACAGTAAGGTGAGCTGCGAAGAAAACCACACGAAATGCAAAGATGTATCCGCAATCTATCAGCATCTCTGAGGAGCCAAGATATATGTTTATTCAGTCGACGCATGTTATGAAATATCCTCCTCGACTTCTTCAATGACTTTTCCTCCTCAGTTTTAATCACATCATCGTATTTATACTATTTAGATATTCTTTGTTGATATGGCAACATTTGAAACGCCTAATTTGAATCTTTCCTAACTCGATTGTGTCTAATAAAAATTCAAATTGGATTTTCAGAGCAGCAGCGCAACTACGAGGTGGCTTTTCGTGTGTGGTTTCCAAGTCAGAGTGGAATGGAGAGTGTTAGTGTTTTTGTAGAGAGCTGATAACCAGAGAAAGTGGAAAAAAATTCGGAGTAAGAAAGAGAATTAACAGCCAAAAAAAACACGTGTGATGAAAAATTCGGGAGTCTTGCCTAAGCCTCGAGCCCTTGACAGGTGAGGCGAACGCTATAAGTACATCTTAGCTCCCTTAAATTGGCCAATAGTTTAATTCTATATCAGCCTAGATACAAAATAAACTTTCAAAGTTAATTTATTGATTTTGCTTGTAATAACATTAAAAAAATCTTCAATAAAATTTTCGTTACAAAATTTCTTAAACCCGACAAACCGCGGAAAACTGCGACTTGAAACCGTACTGAACATCGACAGGGAAAAAATGAATATTTGAAATATTACGCTGTTTTGATCAAGTAAATGTTGCGCACTTATCGATGGAACTAAAAGTAGGAAAATGTCTGTAGTCAATCAATTTTGACTGCCGTTTTATTACAGAGTCCACGTCATTCCAAATCCCATCCGTCATACTTCCGTTCCATTCCAGAATTTAAAAAGATCACTCAGGACTACGAAAAAAGTGAACTTTACGTTTCGCTGGGTTTTTTGTGCAATACGCAACACTAAAATTTTTGAAAGAATCGTCCTTTTTTTAAATAACAACCGTATGTACTTTTGTAAAAAAAAAACTGTAGAAAATGTCAGATGTGGAAGCTGTCAATGAACGGATTTTGAATTTTGTTGCTGGGCGAGTTGGCATCAATTCCCATGGGTACGAGAGAAAATTCGATTTATTCAAAACGACTCACTGGAACGATTCCAAAATACCGAATTTCAAACCGATAGCGCAGTGACGCGCGTATTTCAATTCGAAATTCTGCCGTATAAAGAATACTTTTTTATGCTTCTGATGGAACGTACGAATTCGCACTCTCAGTCCGAAAACATGATCAAAGACAGCTGCGTAGCGAGTCGTTCCTGTCACTGAAATTGGTCCTTCTCAGATTTTTATCGCCAAGCGAGTAGACCTCACGCATGATCACACCATATCGTGTTGTTTAACTCCACTTCGCTTCTATTTATCGTGCCGTTCGTGATCGCAAACTCACGTGTTTTGCCTCTCCGGCGTAAACAAAAACCAAAAAACAAGGGAGAAATATTACTTCGGACTTCTTTCAAGTGCCGTAGTCGAGACAAAAATTAAAATTTCATGTGTGGTAGGGTTGTTTTCCATATCGGCGTAGTAACTTTGTCATTGTTTGTTACGCAGATGGTTGCTCGATGCGACAGGAACAATGCACTTGTCAGTTAGAACCCGCGCTTGACAATGCAAGCTCCGCCTTCATAGTGACGTCACTTCCTCGCGTCCTTGGAAAAGGTCAGAAAGTTTAAGAAATCTGGCCAAGATTTGAAGAAAAGTCAGTATATTCTGTCATGATAAATAGTTACTATTCAATTTTATTCGAAGGGATTTTCCCTCAGTTAATCCTATTAATTTGTTTTCGAATAGACGCGAATCGTAATTTTTGTGTTGTTGTTTTTCAATAACGAGTATCAGTTTGATCTTGAAACCGCCAACAAAATAAATTCCACATCTCGGATTCCCCGTATATACTCAAAAGGACAGTATCATCGGCTTAAGAAGGCTCAGAAGAGAAGATTGCTGATTTAAAATATTGTCTCTTAGATCGACAGCAAACGCGAAAAATCTGCGCTATTTTTAGCACCTAGAGAGACAAGAACACCTTGCTTTGACAAGCAGGTGCAAAAGTGGCCGAATGAATTTGAACGATTTTCTGCCTGAGACATGCAAGAGATTACTATATTTCTGAATGTTATTTCACTATATTACTCGTTCGCATGATTGTGGTGTACCGATTACAAATCAGGTAAAAGTTACCAAACGAATAAAATTTATTTTTAACGCAAATTACCGGTAGGCGATCGACTGACCAGCCTTGTGGCAGGTTTTATTGTGAGAGTAAATTGTTACTCCTCGCGTGCATCGCGCGTGGAAGAAAGACAAAAGAAGACCTTGGGATGAGACGAACACATGTGGCGAGGGGGTGGGGAGAGAGAGAGGAAATACGGAAATACTCGGAGATGATCAAAGGAAATGATGTTAATTTAACATGGGGCCCATTTTTATACCCTCAAAGGTATGCTCATTCAATATTCACGAAAGCAATTTTTTTTGCGTTCAAATAATGGGAAATACCGTAACGGATACAAATCTTTGTCGTGGGATGGAGTAGTATCACTTGGTTCAGATTTGTACTGCGCAGAAGTCAATATACGGCAGCTTAGTTATCGAAAGTAACGATTTTAGCATAAAAATAAAAAAAATATTCTTACAGGCTTTACCTAAAATGTTCTCCAAGATCTACTTGACCCACAGGGAACGAAAGAACAGGCGCATTTTCACCCTGTCTACCCCCAGCGTATTTATACTGGTATGCATTCCCCACTTCCACCGACACGCTTAGTCAAATATTTCATCATACGAAAATTTGCGTTCCGGAAATGTATTTTTACTCTACACGTTGGGTAGGTTAGGTGATAGAAATTACATTAATATATATTACTTTTAATCTGCCACGTTTTTTTTATAAGAAAACGATCTAACAATGGTTTATTGCGGTTTGACATTCACGCATCGTAACACTTCCCCTACCTACCCCACCCTACCCTTCATCCGTTTATCCGCTGAAGTGCCTGTCACATTTCGCGCATTTGCTTCGATTTGGACAAACAGCTCAGGAGGATTCATATTCACTTTGTTCCACTAAATCTTATGCATGTGGAAAACAGGCACCCTCTCATACGAAGAATTCGAAAATGTACTCTTCGACTTCTTGGAAAGGGCTAGAAAAGTTGGAGATTCTTGGAATCTGGAATATGCTAAGGTATGATTAGAAATCTTGTACATCAAGTGGCCGGGTCGATGTGAAGATGTAAGCAAATTAAACATTAATGTTATGCCTCTAAATCTGTTTCACTGTCATAAAATTTCCATTCATTTGCGGGTAACTAATTTGGATGTTTAATGCTCTTCGTGATTAAATTTTTAGCTTGATCTGTTGCAATTTAAGTAAGTTTTGCCACCAAAACTGGAGTCATCAAGGGTTTTTTCTTTTTTTGCGACAAGTAATTAAACAGTACCTTAAGAGTCAGAGAAAACTTCCAAATATTAGTTTATTACGATGGAAAAAGGTATAAAATGAAAAAAAAATTAATAACAAAAAAGGAAGGATATAGGCAAGTAATGAAGAATATTTTTATGGATTCTGAATGACCAGCTTGAAAAGCTCAGGCTAAATTTATCAAGATTCAAACAATCGTAACCACGCTAAATAAAAAAATGGCTAACTATTGAAATTTTCATGGTTTTTTGTTGTTTTTCTGTTTAATGTGAAAAGGGAAAACGAAAAGTGAAGTACCTTACCAAAACACAAGTGCAGCTGGGTTTTGATAAAGCAAGTGAAGCAGATACAGAGGAAACTTGTGCAGAGGATAAGAACTGGGGTGTGGAGGAAATCGACAATGTAAGGTTTGCTTTCAATGTGATAGAATTAGAACTTATAGCTTAGAAAAGCTTGCAAGTTCAGTCCTGGCCCAGTTTTATTACATTGTGTTGGTTGGCACGACAGTTTAACCATGCACTGCCTGATGATACATATTTATGAAATAATAAATTGAGATATTACAAGCCCCCTGATTGGTTAAAAACCTATTGTTTTTTGCATCAGGAAACCTATAAAAAATTGAAGTTTGTTTTATAACAGCAGTAGACTGTACTTTTATGCTTGAAAAGTTTGCAAATCACTTGACTCCAGCTTGTGAAATACAAACTTTTTAAATTTTGTTCTTGCAACATACATGTCCTGCATGGGTTATGATTTGGGTAAACCAATTGGGAATATGGTCTCTTGCTTATGGATCAATAAACCACTCAGCTGTACAACAGTTGCATGCAAACTCATATACAGCAGAGCAGGGGAAGGGGGTTGCATGGGAGGCTGTAGCCTCCCCAAAACAAAAACTTGGATGACATAGCACCCCACCTGGTTTTAGTGCTGAAAATATTGCAGCATAAATGTTGGCAAAATGTTCAATCTTGTGATCTTTTCACAAAGCCTTTTATCAGCATTGTGCTTGGCAAAACTTTTTCGAACAGCTCCTGCTTGTGTTTGAGAAGCATATCAACTGTGGCAGTTCTCCATCACTGAAACTACACAGCATGTCCAGGAAATTAAACTTGATCAAAACTTTTCTGTAGGAACCTAGTAGAATGCCAGGCTGAAATATTTTAAACTCTGCTTGAAAAATTGATTACCGACACACTCAAAACTGTTGTGTACATGGCTGTGTGAAAGATAAGCTCCACCAATTGTTTCAAAACACTTCACCACCTCTAAAACTGTAACAAAATATGATAAAACAGTTGGATGTGTGGTAGGAAAATTTTCCTTTTTAGAGTGATATTAATAGAGAAATTAACTCTAACATTTTAAATGAAACCTCTTTCGTATATTTGAAAGAGACCCTATTGTCTCAACAACAACCAATTCTGCAACACTGCAACAAAATGTCGGGAAGCTGGGTTGGGGTTAAGCTAAATGGACAAGTATCTTATCCAGGGAGGAATACCAATCCTGAGAATTACTCTATCATATCTAAATAACAACTAAAGTACCTGTCATGATGTCAGAGTAATTTTATGAGCAATCATAGGAAACTTAATTGGCAGGACAAGTCTGCTGATGTTGAATCATTTGTACTAAGTAGGCTAGCTTGATTACAATTATGATGTTTGATTGTCTCTGTACCCAGTAATGTGTGATATATGTTTCCGAGAAAAAAATATAAAGAATGGTAAAATTTGTCGGCACATCTCTCTTAATGCTAGGTGGTTGATAACCCCCCACTCACTAGATGGAGTGTTATTTTGATTAATATGTATTGTATCAGGTGTTCAATATTTCCTCATAGATAATTATGCAGCTTTAGCGAGAAACCTCTTGAGTAATCCACTGGTTTTAATATAATTTTTACAGGATTGTGTAACTTCTGGCCAGCTAGAGTCAGACATGAACAAAACATTTCTGAAGTATGAATATCATGTTATCTACAGCACCAGTTATGGTGTCCCAGTGCTTTATTTTACTGCAAGCAGACAAGGTAATTGTGATATTTTCTGGTGCTTCATTTTTTTAATGGTAATTGAACTGAGTGGAGTGCAATTTGGGCTGAAATCATATGCATGATTTCAAAATTGAATGAGTGCACAGCGCAAGTTCAATTTGAAATCACAAGTATCAGATTTTGGACCAAAATTGCACAGCATGAGGTTCAATTACCACTTTATTACATCCATTTTGAAATTGCCCAAATACAGGACTTGGTCAGTTCAATTATTTTATTGATGCAGTACTGAACCGGTCTGAAATTAAGTTCATCCATTTTTTGGGGGGAGAAGCTAAGAGTTTTGGAAACAAAAGTTGCAAAATTTGCCACATGATATCCTTGTCTTTCATTTTTTCTGCAATTTGATCAGCAATTTGATCTGTTAAACAAGCCTTGAAATCTGACTGGTTGTTTTGTTTTTAGTGTAGCCTCCTCATTGGCTTGGAAAAAGATGTAATTTAAAGCAAAAAATGGTGCGATTTGTGAATAAATCAGATTATAGGGACCACCAGTGATTTCAAAATGGGTGTAATAAAAAAGAGTAAGTTTGTGTTGATATAAATCTGAGCTTTGTATGTTGTAGACATTACTCAGGGTGGCTCAAAATAGTTTCATTTTTCAGACACTTGAATAAAACAAAGGTGGCTATGAACTATATTTACTGATTTTTTCAACCTTAATATGTAGCAAGATTAATCTTGATACGCTGATTGAAATTCTCAGGTCAAACTAAAGGAAAGCCTCTGAAAATGTTTGAGTCAAAGGGGGTATTTCTTAGAAGCTATGTCGTAATGGAAACTTTTTATATCTGGTATTTATAAATTAAAGATGATTACAACTTGCTGAGAAGGAACTGGATAATTTTTTATGTCATTGTAAGAAAACAATTACTAAAGAATTATGATATAATTATCTATTACCTTATTGAAGAAATGTAAAATGGTTTCCGTGTTTACATAGCCTGATGTAAACACAGAAACC